ATTAATTAATTAATTTGATATATTCAATTAACTTAAAAATTAATATGCATTATTTATCTAAATATAACACTAAATTTAACTGTTAGTTTTTGAAAATAGTCTTTAGATGGTGGTGTTTTTGAAATTAAGATTTTAATTCTTTTCAAGAATTAAAACTAATATGTACTATCTTTATAAATTAACATGTAAAAAATTAATTATAAGTATTTGATTAATTTCACCCTTTTTTTTTCTTGTATACCTTTGTTATTGAAAAAAAAATTAAAAGAAAAATAATATGTACACACTCAAAACTAATACACCCAAGTACACCCTTTCGGTTGAATTGTAAATAAATGATTTAATATTGTTTGGCAGCTATACAGAAGTTATCCTCACTTATTACCAAATATTGTTCATCTTTTTCCACATGAACCCAACACTTTTCCAATACCTTTCTTCTACCCATTTTCAACTACATTTCTCACACTTTTCCAATATCTTTCTTTTACCCATTTACGACTACATTGCTCACACGAACCTATAGACATCATCTATTCTCGTTACCAAACAGATTGGAAAGAGGTGCCTCCCCTATTCATCTTCTTCCACATGAACCCAACACTTTACAAATACCTTTCTTCTACCAATTTTCAACTGCATTTCTCTTCCCCCCTCCCTTGCTGTGACTAGGTTTGTGCAAACACAGTGCTGTGTTTTCATAAACCTAGATGATTTGGGTTCAGGATAGATCTAGGTTCCTCACTAACCGAGATTTATCCCAGTACATGAACCTAGCACATGAACTCATTGGATTTCAAGTAGAGCCCCTTTTCCTTCCATTTGCTTCGGACAAGTGAAGGATGCTAAGTTTGTTCTAGATCTATGGTTCATTAATGTTGACTTTACTTGGAACCTCTTGATTTTGATTGTTTTGCACTGTTTTTTCTCCAAGGTTGTGGGTTTGGAATTGTTATTCAAAATTGTGATTAAAGGCTTGTTGAGAACCAACTCAATTTTGTTTCAATTTGGAAACACAAATCTCCAAAAAGTGCTTTGACAGATTTGCTTCTCCATCCCTCAAGCGAAAGCAACTGCATAAGCTACAAATGAAATACACAGAGGAGGAGATGGTGATATCACCATCTGTAGATGAGAGCAAGACTTCTTGTTGCTAGCTGTTTGAAAACGAAGTAGGCCATGGCTGGATGAATGTTGTTGGACAAGTATTTCTCCATTTTATTTCAAACCATGGTATAATAAGATGTGTCCAGTTGAGCGTTGAATCGACGGGTGCATATATCACTATCCAAATTAAAAATACTCATCATTTTCATAATATACATCTCACAAGAATTTTAAAATTTTCCTCAAAAGAGCTAGGCATTATTTTTTTAATAATTATATTGATGTTGAACACACTTAGTAAAATACATATTTTTGTTCTAGGTCTTCTGTGTACCCAAAAATAAAAAAAAAACCCTTGTGAAGAGTTATCTCACATGATTAAAAGTACCAATTTATTGAATTACACAACTAAGGACCTTATAGCTTTCGGGGGATCATCTTCCAAATTTCTTGTGAACCAAACACGCCCTCCAATTCTACACCTTCCAATTATATATAAGAAATTAAGAGATCATTCCTTCTTAGAAAATTGGCTAGTCGTCTCTACTATGTCGGAGATGTCGGCATGATTTATATTCAGGACTCATGTATGAAATGTTCTTATTTTTGCATGGGTCTCTACTAAACAAAATGTTTAATAATAAATTTTTTTTTTCAATATATACGTCACAGGAGATTCCTTCCAAGGATTGGATTTACCAACTAATTTGCTGATGATAACGTTTTTTTTTTTTTTTTCATCATCAAGAAAAATTCAAGAATCTCTTGTTACTCAACGACCTTGATACTATTATAAATAACAAAAATATTATAATTATAATATCATATAATATTATAAATGTATAATATAATATATCCTTACATAATTATTTTTTATTTAAAAATTTATTTATAATATTATATATATCTACTTATTTAATATCATATTATATATATTAAATATTATATAAAATTATAAATTAATAATTTTATATAATATTATAACTATAATATTACCATACAAATAACAAATAAAGTTAGATTTGTTATTCGACCCCTTTTCTCCATTTCTAACAACCTTCATGGTGAAAAACATTCTTCCCGGATATTTAGTGAGGTAAAAACTTTTTTTATAATTAAAATTCATTTGTCGAGTTTTTAAGTAAGATTAACTTATTACAAAAATGTGGAAGTTACTACGTTTCTAAATGAAACTTTCACACCAACTTTTCTAAACAAAACGTTTTAAGAGAAAAACTTGTCTTTAGGTTTAAACA